ACAGCCCATGCTTGCAGAAAGCATCCTCTATGCTAGTCAGACATGCGTAAAATAATAATAATGGTAGGCCACATATGCTGAGGACAGATGAGCAGCAAGGCACTGTGCTAAATGCTTTGCACTCGTGTATCAGGCAGGGTTCTCCGAACCAGCAGCGCCGGTAGGATATATATATATATATATACAGACAGCCGGGGACTTATTCTGGGGAATTGGCCTATGCAGTCGTGAGGCTGGCAAGTCCAAATTCCCTAGGGCAGGCCAGTGGGCCGGAAACACTCCAGCAGGAGCTGATGCTGCCACCTGGAAGCAGAATTGCTTCTCCCTCCAGAAACCTCAGTTTCGCTCTTCGGGCTTCACTGACTGAATGAGGCCAACTCAGATTACAGAAGATAGTCTCCTTTACTTAAAGTGAACTGGTTGTCGATGTTAATCATTTCTACAAAATCTCTTCCGAGCAACACCTAGATTAGTGTTTAATTGAATAATTGGGTACGATGGCCTAGCCAAGTGGACAGGAAAAAATCAACCGTCGCAAAGTACATGCTCATTTTTTTCATCATGAAAAATCCATAGGATAGTATTTGTCATTTAACCCTCATCTTATACATAAAGAAATGGAGGCTTAAGAAGGTAAAGAACTTGCTCAAGATCACACATATTACAAGGGATGAAGTCAAGCTTTGGAACCAGTTTGACTCCAGAGTCCATGAATTTAACTACTGGGATCTTCTGTCTCACCAAGTATTAATAGCAAGAATTTTCTGCTAAGGATGCTCTCTTTTGGAAGTTGGGTAGGGAAAGGCTGGGAAACGTTAAAGCCAAGAGGAGGTCACATTAGCTCTTAAGCATCAGAGAACCTTGAGCTCTCGGTTGTGCCAGGCGCCACGGAGTTCAGGGCTCCGTCAGTATAGCCAGCTTCTTCCCCACCACGCCCCTTTCCTGTCCTTCCACCCTGCCATGCGGCACTCGCAGTGAGAACTTAGTTTATCAGCCGCCGTATAAATTCAAGGGATGTTATAATATGGCGAATACAGGGAATACAGCTTGCATGAAAAAAACCAAGTCAAATTAGATTACATATGAAGACAAAGTCAGAGGGATAAATGAAAACGTCATTCCTTCTGCCACTCCAAATAGACTGCTTCCAAAGTTCCAGTTTAATCAGAGCATCAGCACACCAGCATCAGCAGCAGCTGGGGAAGCTGCCCCCTGGGAGCTGTGACAAAGTGACAAAGTGGACATAAAAGGGTGTGGGGATAAGAGACTCCACAGAAAGGCAGATAAGTTAGCTGCCTTCCAGTGGAGGTTTTTTCCCAGGTTCTCGGTGATCAGGGTAAGAAAAGAATCTCAGGACGCATCACATAAGGCAAGCTAGCAACAGCATTTTTTTTTTTTTTTAATGATTGAAAGTGAAGGAGGGAGAGAGAGAGAGAGAGCGCGCATGAGAGAGTGAGCAGCTGCACTGGGAGGAAGTGATTTTTGATCTTTCAAAGTCTTACTAATTGAGGGGAGGAACATTCAAGCCTGGGGGGGTTGGCTCTCACTAAGAATTTGGATAGTAATCCCTAGAACTGGGTTCCCTCCCATTTTTATACTTTCTGTGGTGTCTTGGAACTGTCATGGTGATTTCAAGGGTGGAAAAATTTTTAAACCTCCATGTAAATGATATCGTAATTAGCCAAAGTTCATGTCAGGTGACAGAGACAGCTGACAGGCGGGTTGAAGCCAGTTCTTGCCTGCAGTTATCAGCCCCTCTAGTTAGCTTCTGCCTGAGGGTTGTTTACTTCAACGCCTGCACACAATCTGCAAGCCCCTGCATCTGGTCTCAGCCCTGTCTCCTAGTCTCCTACTCTAACAGACTGACAGTTACTTGGGGTGGGATTTTACTGCTGCCAGAGGACTCTCCCTCAAACAAATGCATCTCTCCCGCTATCTCCTTCTTTTTCTCATACTCTACAGTTGCATTTCCAAAACTTGTCATTGTCCCTAAAGCTCTCAGCTCTGATTATAGATATTTTAGCAGAAGACCTTTAGGGACTGAATGTCTGAGTCCCCCTCAAATCCATATGTTGAAGTCTTAATCCCCATGCAGTGGTATTTGGAGGTGAGATCTGTGGAAGGCAATTAGGTCACGAGAGTGCAGCCCTCTTGAATGGGATTAGTGCCCTTACACAGAGACTCCAGAGAGCTCTCCTGCCCTCTTTCTGCTGTGTGAGGATATAACAAGAAGGCGGCTGTCTGCAAGTCAGGGAGAGAGCCCTCCCCAGAACCCCACCATGCTTGCCACCCTGACCTCAGCCTCCAGAACTGTGGGAAATAAATTTCTGTCGTTTATAAGCCACTCGGCCTATATCATTTTTTTATAGCAAGCCGACTGACCAAGATAATCTTGTTCCTACCTTAGGAGAGAAAATAGAGACCAGCAGAGATAAGCTTTCTCTGCCTTCACACTGCCACCAAACATAGTTCTGTACCAACCCTCCCAGGCTTCCTCTGCCAGACAGCCTTTGTCTTGTGCTCTGGACTCTGATGGCATCCCCATCCATCACCCCTGGAACTTGCCCCATCTGTCATCGCTTTCCTTTCCCTCCCTTACATGTTCAATCTCTTCAGGTTTTCCTTCCCTCCTGCCTACAAATAGCATAAGTGCTTCCACCATCTTAAAAATACCATAATTCTAGATTATTGCAATAAATATAAGTAGACCAAATGCTTTAGAAATGGAAACATATGATCAGAACACATAGGATTTAAAAACAACTATATTCTGATTCCAAGACACACATCTTAAAGACAAGGGCATAGAAAGATTGAAAGTAAGAATATAGAAAAAAGATAATCCTTCCAACCCCTAAGCAAACGACAGGGAATATCAGATAAAGAAAACTCTAAGATAAGAAATATTACTGGAGATAAAAAGGAAATTTCATAGCAATAAAAATTTCAACTTACCAGAAAGATATTTAAAGTCTAAATCTGTATGTGTTTATTGTATATGCAATTCAAAATTTGTGTATTCTTCTAAATATAGACGGCAAAAATTAATAAAAGTAAAAGGAGAACTATTATAATATACATCAACAATGGACTGTGGGTTTTAACACACGTCTATCAGTGCCTTATAGAACAAGCAGAAACCTCACAAAAATAATAATAGTTTATCAACATGATCTAATTGACATATCAATAAATTGAGCTACCAATTGAATGTTGAAATGCACTATGACAACTCTCCGAGATGCTCAACCAAAATAGCACACGTATGCATTTACAAGAATGTTTACAGCAGCATTACTTATAATTTTCAAAAACTGGAAACAACCCAGTGGTATCACAGCAGATTAAATAAATGAATTGTGCTATTTAAAAAAAACACCTTGCTTCAACTCTTATTCCTCCTCAAGCTATGAAAACTTTTCCTTATTTATTTTCCTATTTGTCAATTTTAAGTAAAAAAAAAATTGAAAAAAAATATATTAGCACCATTTCTTCACTTTTACTGCACTGCTCAATCCTCGGCAATATTTTCAGCCACCATCTTGCCACAGAAATTATTCCGGTCCAGGCAGCAGTTACAAAATTCCCATGTTTCTCAGTCCTATTCTACTTGGTTGGCCTCTCTGCCTTATCTGACACTGTTGATCACGCCCTTCATTCTGAGAATCTCTTCTGTCTTAATTTCTTGATTTCTGTCTCTTGGTTCCCTTTCTGTTGCTGAAATCTTATTTTTCAGTGTCTTCCATGGCCTTTTGTTTTGTCATTTCAGGTTCGGGGAGCCGGGGGGCCTTGTCTGTGCTCACGCTGGGTGATGGCATTCAGGCCGTGGCTCCACCCCCATCTCTGTGCTGAGGCAGCAGGCACGGTGATGTGCTTGGGCACAGACTTTGAAGTCAGGCAGATGACACACCAGCTCTGCAAATCAAGGTCTCTAAACCCAACCTTTCTCCTGAGCTGTAATCAGAGGGGCACTAAAAATAAACTTGACCCGGGTTATAACTGTGTCGTGAGACAATTTTTGCATCTCTCCGGATCCATAAATCGTTGAAAGCCCATATCCTAGTCTCGCAATGCCAGACTCAGTGTATGTACTTCTTAGATCACATTGGCCATGATTGTCTGCTCAGTGCTACAGGTGACTCTGCAGGAAAATCACTTGGCACCCATGACATTCTTGTTGGCAGAGAAGGGAGATGCCCATCTTTGCTGGAGAGAGGCTGGCTGAGCCCCGGCCCCGCCGCACGGTGGAGGCTGCTCAGCACTTGCTCTGTCGCAGCCACAGCCGCTCCTGATGCCCTGCATTGCTCGGGGAAGGGCCAGGAAGTGCCCCACTTCACACCTTTGGCCTCACACTGCCAGGTCCTCACCTCTTGCCCTGAGCTTTCGTGTCACCGCTAAGGTGCAGATTCTGGGGGCTTCCCAAGCCCCCTCACCCACTCGACCCACTGGCCTTCCAGAAGGAGGCTGCAAGTTGCAGAGAGGCAAGCATAAAATGTCTCTGGCCCCTGCCTTTTCAATGGATCAATGCCACTCACTGCTTTTGTGGCAAAAACAACCTAGAAACGTGGGTGAGTTCACACCCCAATGTTAAAGTGGGGGAGGCTTTGGCCAGCGAGCAACAGGAGACAGAAAGGAACCGACAGAAAGAGTCCTCTCCCTTCCTCCTCCCTGGGAGGCTCTGCTGAGCGCCAGTGTTTCCGAATGCCCTCTCTGGATGTGTCCTGCACGGTTGAACAACCAGCGTGTTCTCCAGTCAAGTACGGACAGCTTGGGATGCACCATTGCGTGCTCGCTTCCTCTCTTCCTCTTCCTCACTTACCTGCTTCCTTCGCTTTTGCTTCCCTGAATTGTGCCCACTCCACAAAGCTTTGGCACACAGGCTCTGACTGAGGCTCCGTTTGCTAGAGAAACCATTCATCAAGAAAAAGAAAGGGGAATTCAAGGAGGGAGTAAATTGATTCTCTGACAAGTAACCAGTGTTTTTGCTAAGTGACTTGTTATTACATTTGCTATCTCTTTTAATCCTCACAGAAAAACCATACAGCGAATATTATTCTCCCCTACTACAGCAAGGAACTGAGGCCCAGTGAGGCTTTAGCAATTCACCAGAGACGACAGGGCTGGGAGCCACAGAGCTGACATGCTGACTCCAGTGTGTCTTGCTCCGAAGCCAGCCATCTTCCCACTGGTCCTCGCTGTCCCTAATATCAGGACCTTGGAGCTCAGGGATTCCATGAAGTTTTCATGTGATAATTCACCGGTGGAATTTTTAGAAGCTTTAGGATGATTCAGGGAAGAACATTTTAAATATCCAAGCAGAGCACGATGAGAAAGTCCTAAAATGTCAGGGTACGTGATCAGTTAAAGCAGATGGTTAAGCTACCATTATTATTTGACATTTAGATATCACTTTATATAATCGCTTCTAAATGGAATCACATTGATGAGCCACCCGAAGGTCATGAGAGTTACTTTTACAAGATTGAGAGCGTGAAGGGTTGGGAGAGCCCCAGGCAGCCAAGAGGAGAAACGAGAATCCGCCCCAGGGCTCCATCCTCAGCGTGAAGTCCCTTGGCCACCTGGACCTCCGCTCATCTGCACCATCCAGGTCTGTCTGTTCTCACCATAAAGATCTGTGGGAACAAAAAGTACAAAGTTTTAGCTAGAAGACTAATCTTGAAACAAAGTAGAGGGGTCCTGACTGCCAGAGACTAAAATGGGAAGGATTTCTCATCCTGCACAGCGTGTAACTGGCAGGGTTCTACCCGTGTCCAGAGGTTTGGGCCAGAACTGCACTTTGAAACATGAAAGAAAAACCGAATTTGGACCCTGTTACACTACTCAGTTAGCATCTGTCCGGGTCTTGCATTATGGAGTGATCTGTCTCCCTCCCATGGGAGGAGGGAAATGGGGTTTTTTTTGTGCAATTAAAAAGTCAGACTATTTGTCCGTCTAACCATTTCCTCTTGGTCTAATCAAGGGCTGGAAGATTAACCCCTTGAAGATGGTTATTAATTTCTAAATGCATAATTACAAAAACAGGTGGGTTCGTGTAGTTATGGAGAAAGCATTAACACCACCTGCCTGACGTGGGAACAGGCAGGTTTCATCTGAACTTGTTAAGTGGCCCATAGGCCTCCAGAAACTCTGCCATGCCACAGTGCAGGTTAGTGCTCTGAGCATCATTGCTACCAGAGCCTGTTTTCTTAAAGAGGCCTTTTCTTTTTCTGCATTTTCCCTGCATGCTGTTCAATTGCATGCCTGCAACGCAAAAAATCTCCTCCCAAAGAATCGACACTTATATCCTAAAACATGGAACTCTCACCTCCCAACTCACCCTCCTATAAAAAGCTGTTCAAAGAGCTTAAAACAGACTCAATTGTCTTGCACTATAACATGAATCACCTGGGGATACTGTTGAAATGAACATTCTGACTCAGTGGGTTTGGGTGGGGCCTGAGATTCTGCATGTCTAGTAAGCCCCAAAGATCGTCAATGCCCACAAATGCCACACTGAGCTTAGCAAGGGCTTAGAAGGGTTTGGAAGACCATTTGGCTTTTCTTTTGAAAGTTTTGAAAATGATTTTGTCCTTAGAAATATTTTCCCCTTGCAAATGCCTCAATGTTTCCTAAAGGCTGTTCTGGGAACCACTGCAGACATTTTCAAGCAGATGGGGCTGAAGTTAGAAACTGTGAAGACATCATGTTTTAGCTGTTTTCTTGGGCCACATTGCTTTAGCTGTTGGCACAGGCACAAACTTGATGCTGCCCTAAAGGCTTACTATCAAAATTGGACGTAAAAAAATGGATTTTGCCAAAACTACTTGACTAAATACGTTTATCCCTGAGACCACCAGGCCCATTTTATTTGGTCTCAAATTGGTTATTTTCCATTGGGTAGTTTCCATTATTTTATGAGGTAACAAGATTTAAATGTTAAAGCACATAAACAGAAGCCGTTTAATTGTGCATCTAAATTCTATATTTGATTGAACAGAAGTAATACTTGTTATTTTGCCTCTATTTCAGGATTTTCATTTTCTGCTTGGAGAATTCAGTCATTTTAATGTCCAAAGAAACTACTGTAGAAAATGCAAGTAGTCCAAAATACATTTAACCGTCTAGAACAGATGGGGGAAAGGGGTATTTTTCCAGATGCTTTAGAAATGCTTAATATGTATTTTTTTTGCTCAAGTAAGCTACATATTATCTGATATTAAAAAAATACCTTATTGGGAGAAAAATAAATATAAACATGGTGGTTATTTATAAAATATGCCAATTCTTAGATTTATACTTTATGTTTATTTTTGAAAACTGCCTTCCTTGATCAAATCTTTACCATTTACATTTCAGGAATATCCTCCTTATTAGTATCTCTACCTCTAGGTGCTAGCTATTCTTTCTTGGGAGTGCGGGGGACAGGATCTTATTCTGTCACCCAGTGTCATAGCTCACTGCGGCCTTCAACTCCAATTCCTGGGCTCAAGCGATCTTCCCACCTCAGTCTCCCAAGAAGCTGGGAGTACAGGTGGGTACCACCATGCCCAGCTAACTTTTTAAAATTTTTGTGTAGAGACAGGGTCTTGCTATGTTTCCCAGGCTGGTCTCAAACTCCTCAGACTCCCAAAGTGATGGGATTACAAGCATCAGCCACTGTGTCCAGCCCACTATTCTAAAAGATATCCACTCCAAAACATATTTACCAAAACAATCAACTTGAGAAGATTAAGACCTTAAGGGCCATTTATCATAATCTCCTATTTCAAGACACTTGCTCAGAACCCCACAGTTCTGGAGAGTGACGTCAATAACATAAAGGAATAGAGAACTCCTGACTATCCCTCTTCCCACAGATACGCCATACAAACACCTACACATGGGCTAATTTCCTCCACAAGAAAGCCAGAAACTAGTTGAAAAACTCCTACACACCAAACAATTGAGAAAATATTTACGTCGAAACAGATAGGAAAAGCAGAGTCACGCTTGTACACAAACCCCATCTTGAGCACAGCTCCTTACAACCGGGAAGGAATCCTCAACTCCCGGCTTCTTCCTGAGGAGGGAAGGGTTTGTCACACACATACAGCACCCATCTCTTACAACTCCTGCCGGAGGCTTTGGTTATTAAATCACCTTGCTTGGGAAGCAGTAGAGACTCTGCACTGGAGAATTTCCTTGAAACACAAAGAACAAAGAGGTTCTTGAATTGCATGAACACTACCAGCAGCTGTAGCTCCTGGGTTCAGTCTAGCTTCCAGCTTCTCCCTGGAAGGGATTTGTCTGCACACTTTTCCAGAAGCTCCCTGAGATAGAGGCCAGTCCCTCAGGATGCAGCTGGAAATGTTGGAGTGTTAGATATATGTTCCAGTTTCATCCTTCCTCAGGAAGAAGCTGAGATTAAGAGTTTATCTTGCACTCATTCTGCTCTACTCCCAAGAGAGGATCTATGGCAAATGCCTATAGTCTCATTCAGACTATACTTTCTGATCCTGGGGAGATAGCTGCTAAGTGTGCAACTTTAAAAATCACCTTTTTGTTCTCTGTGGTTTAGGGAGACTCAGGAATGTAGAGCACCATCCATGTCCACAGCTGGGTAATTCAGAAGCCAGTCCCTCAGGTGGGAGCTGTAAAAGTTGGGGTGAGTGCTAATTGGTGAGTGCAATCTCATACAGGCAGCCAGTCTAACAAGACTGGGAAAGGTGGTTTGTCTTATCTAATGCACACAAACCAACACAGAGAGTCAACAAAAATGAAGAAACGGGGCAATATGAAGAAACAGGCAAATAGTAGAATCAATCTCCAGAAGGCAAACCTAATGAAATGGAGAAATGTGAGTTACCTGATAGTGAATTGAAAAGAAGAGTTTAAAAATGCTCACTGAGGTCAGGAGTGCAATGTATGAATAAACTGAGTATTTAACAAAGAAACATACAATATAAAAAAGTTCCAAAGAGAAATGATTGGAGTTGAAGAGAAGCATAACTGAAGTGAAAAATTCAATAGAGGGGTTCAACAGTAGACTAGATCAAACAAAAGAAAGGATTAGTGAACTTGAAGACAGGTCATAGGAAATCATCCAATCTGAAGAGCAAAAATAAATAAGAATAAAAAAAGAGAAGATAGCTTGAAGGACTTATGGGATAGCATCAAGCAGAATAATATACACATTTCTGAAGTTCCAGAAGGAGAAGAGAAAGAGACAAAAAGATATGATTAAAGAAATAATGGCAGAAAACATTTCAAGCCTGGGGAAGGAATTAGAAATCCAGATCCAGGAAGCCCAGTGACCATCAAATAGGATAAAGCTAAAGAAACTTACCTCAAGACACATTATAATCAAACTGTCAAAACTTAAAGACAAAGAGAGAATTTTGAAAGCAGCAAAGGAAAAGCAACTTGTTATATGCAGGGGAACATCTGTCAGACTATCAACAGATTTTTCAGCAGAAGGCTTGTAGGCAAAAAAGGAAGATATTTAAAAAGCTAAAAGAAAAATACCTCCCAACCAAGAATACTATACCCAGAAATTCTATCCTTCCAAAATGAAGGGGACACAAAAACTTTCTCAAATGGCATTATTCACAATAGCCAAGATATAAAAGCAACTTAAGTATCCAACAACGAATGAATGAATAAAGAAAATGTGAGAGATACACACACGCACACAGACACATACACACAATGGAATACTATGTAGCCTTTAAAAAGAAGGAAATTCTGTCATTTGTGACTATGTGGAAGAACCTGGAGGGCATTATCCTAAGTAAAATAAGCTGGAAACAGAAAAACAAATATTACGTGATCTCACTTATATATAGAATCTAAACAGTCAAACTCATAGAAGCAAAGAGTAAAATGGCTATTACCAGAGACATTGGTGGGGGAGGGGAGATGTTGGTCAAAGTGTACAAGGTTTCAGTTAGGAGAAACAAGATTTAGTGATCTATTGCACAGACAGCATGGTGACTAAAGTTAGTAATAATGAATTGTACATTTCAAAATTGCTAAAAAAAAAAAAAAAAAAGTAGATTTTAGATGTTCTGCTCCAAACTTCTGAAAAAAGCCACCAGGGAGGGGCTGAAGTGGCTCCACCCAGCCAGAAAGTCTGCTTATGAAGACGGGGCCATCTGAGATTCACAAACTGAGTGTGCAACTCTTACGTCTCCTCCCAGCCTGTGTGTCTTTTCTGCTAGTGTGCATCTTCATGAAATGCTGGAGGGCAGGGAATTTCCAAATCGAGCACCCCAGGTCCACTACAAGTCCACAGAGGAAGAGGCATGGGCCTCTCTGTGGATGCCTCAGCCTGGAGTACACACCTGCTGGAGAGAGGGAGCTGCTCGCCTGCTTCTCAGCACAAACTGCTCTCCTGGCTGGATTGGGTGGGGCAACAATGCCTGATTGTCATGGCACCTGGGGGTGTGCCATGGAATCTGCCCTAATCAAACCAAGCAGTTTTTCTAAAGGGGGGGATGCTCTTCTAGCTTGCTACATCTCAGAGCCCCACAGTATTCTATTTTCAGATCTGTCCACGTGGGCTTCCTTATCATCTGAGTCAAATTCACAGACCTCCCTCCTGTGTCTCCAAGAAACTCAGTAGCCCACTGGCCACCGAATGCCTATGGAAGGG